CATCCAACTCATAAAGCTAGCTGATAAAAGTTTTACTCCATTTGCTGCCCTGAACGGGCTTCAACAGTAAGAAAAAGTAATCTTCATCATACCTTGCCGGATTACGAATTTCGCCAATGCTGTAATTGAGTATATCCCAGCCGAAGTAGGAGTAGAAGCCAGCGTTAAGTGCTACCACTAAACTGTGCATATTGAAAAAACTATTTTCCATTGGATTTTTGAAATTGTCCGTCATTCCTGCAGTATTTCATGGTATAACATTGCCCGAAGTATTCCAAATGGAAATGAACGCAGCTATCGTTCAACGAATATCAATATTGAAGAAACCTTTGAAGATAAGACAGTATGCGCCTCCAATTATAATTAGCGCCATAGCAATGAGCTTCGCTGCGGTTGCGACGATTTGAAATACAGAAGCCGACTTCTCCAACGAGTAGAAGTTGACCCAAACAATGGCCACTGAAACAGCATTCGTGGATTTCTCTTTCAAAAACCGTGCTTGCATACAGCGCAAGTGAATTCCTTCGATCTCAACCTGCTGCGAAAATGCTTCAGTGGCAAGCCAAGTGTAAGTCTGTTCACAAATTTCATTTCAGAAACCGCTGAGAACTAAAACTCTGAAGATATACAATTAACAGCATGTTCTAGGCCTCTTTCTGCCGCGGCCCATTATTTCAGTTTCTAGTTGGCTTCATAATTTGGCAGCGAGCAAACAAAAGTCATTTTTAATTGTTCGGTAGCCAATGCTAATTAATTTAAACAGTATAAAACCACCCTTCAACAGTTACTGGTTTTGACACTCCAAAGCGATGGGGATGTAGACGTAAACTTATGTCTCTTTACATGTGCTTAGTTACTGTGTTTATTCACACACATTAAAGTTCAAATAATTTTTATGCGTTTTTGCTGTGCAGCGCTGTAGCAAAGCTATAGCGCTGCACAGCAAAAACGCACTTTCATCTCAGCAACCAGGAAAGCTGGGAGGCTGAAAATTCGGATATATGTTCCTACACCGTGTGTCATCTTCCCGCTTTAAGATCTTTCCCCGTACGCGCCTAAACCCCGCGTACGGGACCCCCAAAGAAATATGTTGGCGGGAAACTATTTCGCGAAC